AGCCAGTACATGTCCAGGCCCGTCTGAAGTTTGCCATATGAGAATGTCATATGGTCAGATGAAACCAAAATATAACTTTTTGGTAAAAACTCAACTCGTCGTGTTTGGAGGACAAAGAATGCTGAGTTGCATCCAAAGAACACCATACCTACTGTGAAGCATGGGGGTGGAAACATCATGCTTTGGGGCTGTTTTTCTGCAAAGGGACCAGGACGACTGATCCGTGTAAAGGAAAGAATGAATGGGGCCATGTATCGTGAGATTTTGAGTGAAAACCTCCTTCCATCAGCAAGGGCATTGAAGATGAAACGTGGCTGGGTCTTTCAGCATGACAATGATCCCAAACACACCGCCCGGGCAACGAAGGAGTGGCTTCGTAAGAAGCATTTCAAGGTCCTGGAGTGGCCTAGCCAGTCTCCAGATCTCAACCCCATAGAAAATCTTTGGAGGGTGTTGAAAGTCCGTGTTGCCCAGCGATAGCCCCAAAACATCACTGCTCTAGAGGAGATCTGCATGGAGGAATGGGCCAAAATACCAGCAACAGTGTGTGAAAACCTTTTGAAGACTTACAGAAAACGTTTGACCTGTGTCATTGCCAACAAAGGGTATATAACAATGTATTGAAAAAACTTTTGTTATTGACCAAATACTTATTTTCCACCATAATTTGCAAATAAATTCATTAAAAATCCTACAATGTGATTTTCTGGAGAAAAAAAATCTCATTTTGTCTGTCATAGTTGACGTGTACCTATGATGAAAATTACAGGCCTCTCTCATCTTTTTAAGTGGGAGAACTTGCACAATTGGTGGCTGACTAAATACTTTTTTTTCCCCACTGTATGCTATACAGTGAGGGAAAAAAGTATTTGATCCCCTGCGGATTTTGTACGTTTGCCCACTGACAAAGAAATGATCAGTCTATAATTTTAATGGTAGGTTTATTTGAACAGTGAGAGACAGAATAACAACAGAAAAACGCATGTCAAAAATGTCATACATTTCTCAATCAGAAAGATTTCTGGCTCCCAGGTGTCTTTTATACAGGTAACGAGCTGAGATTAGGAGCACACTCTTAAAGGGAGTGCTCCTAATCTCAGCTTGTTACCTGTATAAAGACACCTGTCCACAGAAGCAATCAATCAATCAGATTCCAAACTCTGCACCATGGCCAAGACCAAAGAGCTCTCCAAGGATGTCAGGGACAAGATTGTAGACCTACACAAGGCTGGAATGGGCTACAAGACAATCGCCAAGCAGCTTGGTGAGAAGGTGACAACAGTTGGTGCGATTATTCGCAAATGGAAGAAACACAAAATAACTGTCAATCTCCCTCGGCCTGGGGCTCCATGCAAGATCTCACCTCGTGGAGTTGCAATGATCATGAGAACGGTGAGGAATCAGCCCAGAACTACACGGGAGGATCTTGTCAATGATCTCAAGGCAGCTGGGACCATAGTCACCAAGAAAACAATTGGTAACACACTACGCCGTGAAGGACTGAAATCCTGCAGCGCCCGCAATGTCCCCCTGCTCAAGAAAGCACATATACAGGCCCGTCTGAAGTTTGCCAATGAACATCTGAATGATTCAGAGGAGAACTGGGTGAAAGTGTTGTCAGATGGTGGTCTTTGGCATCAACTCAACTCGCCGTGTTTGGAGGAGGAGGAATGCTGCCTATGACCCCAAGAACACCATCCCCACCGTCAAACATGGAGGTGGAAACATTATGCTTTGGGGGTGTTTTTCAGCTAAGGGGACAGGACAACTTCACCGCATCAAAGGGACGATGGACGGGGGCCATGTTCCGTCAAATCTTGGGTGAGAACCTCCTTCCCTCAGCCAAGGCATTGGAAATGGGTCGTGGATGGGTATTCCAGCATGACAATGACCCAAAACACACGGCCAAGGCAACAAAGGAGTGGCTCAAGAAGAAGCACATTAAGGTCCTGGAGTGGCCGAGCCAGTCTCCAGACCTTAATCCCATAGAAAATCTGTGGAGGGAGCTGAAGGTTTGTTGTTGGTCCTCTGTAGCTCAGCTGGTAGAGCACGGCGCTTGTAACGCCAAGGTAGTGGGTTCGATCCCCGGGACCACCCATACACAAAAATGTATGCACGCATGACTGTAAGTCGCTTTGGATAAAAGCGTCCGCTAAATGGCATATTTATTTATTTATTTATTTATTTAAGGTTTGAGTTGCCAAACGTCAGCCTTGAAACCTTAATGACTAGGAGAAGATCTGCAAAGAGGAGTGGGACAAAATCCCTCCTGAGATGTGTGCAAACCTGGTGGCCAACTACAAGAAATGTCTTACCTCTGATTGCCAACAAGGGTTTTGCCACCAAGTACTAAGTCATGTTTTGCAGAGGGGTCAAATACTTATTTCCCTCATTTAAAATGCAAATCAATTTATAACATTTTTGACATGCATTTTTCTGGATTTTGTTCTTGTTATTCTGTCTCTCACTGTTCAAATAAACCTACCATTAAAATTATAGACTGATCATGTCTTTGTCAGTGGGCAAACATACAAAATCAGCAAGGGATCAAATACTCTTTTACCTCAATGTACTTGTGATCCACAACGGCAGCTAATTGTTTCATTTAGTTCGTGAGCTACATGGTGGCAGCAAAGGTCAGATGTATACATGTTTCCATTTGGGAACTTGAAGACTGATGAAGTATTTGTTATTGCTTGCCAATAACTTTTCTTGTTGTAGTGAAACATAGACACAACATTTTGGAAATTTATGAGGCTGAGATATGAAAGGAAATATAGAAAGGATTTGTTTACATCTGAACGGACAGAAAATTCCTCATATCTGTCTATGCCGTGCACAAAGAAGCATCATCAACACCTTGTTTACATTTGCATGCGTGCTCTGGGCCCAGACTGTGACATCATCTCATATCATTCTGGGTTTTGTGGCACTTAACATAAATACAACATAATCAAACCAGTAGAAATAGTACACATAAATAATGGCTCCCTAAGGCAGACCATTACTTTTTCATTTTGCCCGCGGAATGTACATTATTGTGGAAAGTAACACGATTTGATGGCACTTAACTGCAGGATTATATCCATCAATTGTTCATGAACAAGTTCCACCTCAAGTTAATGAGATCCTTGGATGCAGGCCACAAATTGAGGAGAGGAGGAAGCTGAATGGGAAGAGCGTCTTATTTGGCTACTGTGCTGTTGCATCTTTAACAGGCGGACAGACCGATGGATTGACAACATAGACAGACTGACAGACATACCTAACTTCACTATTTATCCACTTCAGGCACCTCCAAATGAAAGCGGCTTGATTTCCCAGCAGTGAAGAGATAGCCGCCTCAGAACAATAAAAGCCTGTGACAACATGCTAGGGAAGGGAGGCGTCTTCAACTTAACAAGCTTTCATCTATCAGTGTTGTCTGTGAAGTAGCGCTGTTTTGCTTTGTTTACTTCCCATCTTGTTGAAGAAGTGGATGTGTTGAGACACAGGTTATTTCAACCACACAGATTGTGTCACATCACTGTCCAGTATATCAGGCCTGGCTAGATGACCTTTAATCCACCTGAGCTACAAACGTGATCACCCAATGCATCTCATTTGGGTGTCATGGCATCTTTTGCGACCCCCTGTTTTGCACTCCAAGACATTGTACACAACCACCTGGTATTGGTGGCTTGGATCTCAGGTTACACAGAGCACCGTGTAATAATCAGAATACCTCTCCACAAATATTGGCTTAATTTCCCCTAACTCTCGCATAAGACCTACAGTGGCGAACCAGCGAGCATACACAAAATGATTGTGGATTTACCTAATTGTGCTCCATCAACCATGTCGCCTCTTTCCCCCCTCTTTTGTTGTCTCACGTCACTCATTTGTTCCTACCCTCTGTATTGATGTTGGGCTGTCATAAACAGCAGTGTGATTGTGCATTACATTGAGTCGGGCTAGATTGAGTCCCCGAGATCTAACTTTTGTTATCGGGGCTTAGCTAACTGTGTTTGCGTGCAATGAGCTGCCAGCTGCGATAAACAGACAGTTATACATTTTGAACATTATGCTGTTTGGTTTTATTAGCAAAGCAGATCATTATACTTTACATCATAATGGTTATAAGGTGCAAATTGGGTTGGGCTTGGCCCGGTAATGCATTTTGAGGAATGGGTTCGGAGGGCTTTGGTAATCTAGGTAATTCTCCATTAATTCTGTTGCAGATCAGAGAAATAGCTACCTCACTTCACCTCGGCAGAGCCGCCTCGGGGCAGTACGCATCAGCCCTAATCGGGGGTCTTCTCCAACTCAATACAAATGACATTAATATGCATGTTATTATTGCTTTAAATCATTGTCAAAAAGGCGGAATAAATCATTTAATTATGGCCCTTTAACGCTACAAAATGCTCAATGCGTTTAGTTTTATTGACAGTCTGGCGGTGAGAACAAGTAATGCTAATTACATAATCTGGCTGTGATCAGGGGGTCGTCCTCTGCCCCCATCACTGACAAACAGTCTCATCTGTACTGGATCATTTGCTGTCTCCAGATACTTTTGTGGTTTATAGCCAATTATCTCCTGCGATCCATTATCGATTACAGTGTTATCTTTCTTTCATTGCTTAATCTTTTTGCGTTGCTACAGCAGGCTGCGTGGGGCCTAGAAGAACACTGCTAGACCACAGGACATAGGATGGATGATTCTTCATTTGCCTGTAAATTAGCATTTAGTGTTACAAAAAAGAGGGCCGTGTTGATTTGCGATTCCACGTCTCATGAGTAGATTCTCCAAAGAAATAACCAGGAAAAATAGAGACTGTGCTAGAGACAATGATTTTCTCCATATCCAATCATATTGTGGAGATGATCGTTTTCCTCAGAGACAATGAAACCAATACCACCAATGACTTGTTCATGTTATTTTGATGTGTGATTGGACATCTGTTGGTCTGGCACGGGACCATGTATGTTGTCTGACTTTTCTTCTTCTATATCCTAGCTGGGTGAACAACTTTGGCCATGAAGGACTGGGCCTCCTCTTGGATGCATTGGATAAGTTGCTGGATAAGAAACAGTAAGCATCTCACGTTACAATGACTTCTCCTCTCTCAATACGCCCTTAATACTGTCTAACTCTATTCTCCTCTGTCGTATTCTCATTCTTCTCCTTTCTCCTGTATTTTTCAGGCCAGAGAGTATAGACAAAAAGAACCAGCACAAACTGATCCAGTGTCTCAAGGCCTTCATGAACAATAAGGTTTGCACGGGTTGGGTTGGTCCAAGGCTTTCATTCAAAAAGTTTTACTTTCAGTGGTTTTTCTCGATTCCTCAGTGTTTTCAGGTAGCCATATATCAGGATTCAATTGGCACCCAATGTTGGCCCTCAACCACTTGAACAATCATTGTGATCTTTTTTCCGCCTTTTACATCGGCTCACTGTAATTTGAAGAGGGAAGAGAAGGACAGGATGATGCAGAGGTGGTTCTGTATTCACCTTGAAGTGCTACAAACTATAGACTGAAGTTCTATAGATTCAATGCCTCAATTTCAATGGCAAAACTGAAAATAATTCAGTTTTATTCACATTGAAAGAGTGGTAGAAATGAAATGAATGAAAAGGGATATCATTTTATACCGAGTATGTAGGCATCTCAAAATCCTGTATGGTGAAACCAGGTTGGCTGTTTTTCCTATCTAGAATGGATGGACTGTGACGAGTGCTATTGGGGCGGCAGGTAGCTTAGTGGTTAAGAGCGTTGTGCCAGTAACCGAAAGGTCGCTGGTTCTAATCCCCGAGCCGACTAGGTGAAAAATCTGTCGATGTGCCCTTGAGCAAGGCACTTAACCCTAATTGCTCCTGTAAGTCGCTCTGGATAAGAGCGTCTGCTAAATGACTAAAATGTTAAATGTAATTGTGGACAAGTAAAGCGCAGCTAATTTGCCATATTCAACCCATTGACTCCAAGTATTTCATTATTCCTTTTTGGGAAGCAGCACTGTCTCATTTTTGGAAAATAGCACATTTCAAGGATGGATGAGCTATTGCTATTGCTACCCTTTAACAAAATCCCCATATGTGGTCAAATATGCCCATTACTTGTGTCCGAGATAGATAGATTTAAAGTTAGGGGAGGACTTTAAGTATTGGTCCCAACAGCCCTGACCTGAATTGGCTTAATACATCATATTCTCCATTTTCTCTTGGTCTTTATGTCCCTCTTTAAAGAGCATTAGGGCTAACTATTACTTATATTAGAGGTTCTTTGTAGTGGTTCCTTTTTTAACTGTACATGAGCGTTCTCCATGAATGCAAATGCTCTCATTCAATTATTCCCAATGGACACTTTTTATTTTATTCCTCTCTTACACGTCTTCTACAGTATGGACTGCAAAGGATTCTGGGAGATGAGCGGAGCTTGCTTCTCCTGGCCAGGGCCATTGACCCCAAACAGACCAGTATGATGACAGAGATTGTCAAGATCCTCTCAGCTATCTGCATCATTGGAGAGGAAAACATGTAAGTTCACCGCAACATTCAACACTAATCCACCATTATAATATCCTCAATGTCACGCTTCTCTCAGTGCCAGCCATTGTCTTCATTACCACTTCTCCCCCTAGCAACACTAATTTCTATAATCACATCAAGGAAATACATTTGTAGACAACCTGTCACTGGCCCTAGCACAATATATTCTGTGCTCTCATATTACATTTGCAGCGAGGGCGTTGAGATGTACCGGAGCTCTGTCGGTTAGCATGTTCTGATTTAGCAGTTTGGGCTGTGTAATGTATTTAAGTGCTCAGTGTTGTTGACCATGAACACACTGTTTGGTTGACAGAATATAAATTGAATCCAGGGGAGCTCTTTTGTATTGAGCTGGACTAAAATAACAATGGGACTTCAAAGTAGCTCTGCATGCAGCGGAGGAAAATAAACAAACTGACAAATACGAGAATCTAGTTAAAACTGTTTCTCACATCAGCCCCTGCCGAATGTCTCTGTGTGACCGCGGTTTTGGCCCCTGCTATGTTTAATCTAGGAATGTAAAATGACTCGCCTGAAATGAATCTTCTAGTACTAACTAAGCTGCCCTCATACCCAATTTCCAATATACTTCAAAAAAACACACACACACACACGTGCGTATGTGTGTTGAAGATAACTGTCACAATCCTCCCAATGATCACAGCCCACTTTAAGCATGCACAGCTGATTGACGGAAAATAGAGCTGAGGCCTCACTTTCCGAAAAGAAAAAGTAAAGGGTTGGGTGGTACTGGGTGGGTAGTTTCCTCCCGCATCTTCCCTCTCTTTGCTCCTCTGCCAGACTATTTTGGAGCGAGGGGGGAAGATCACAGGCATGGCTGGGTCGTGAGCCATCCTCCCTCCTTGGGGACCCGTGAACGCTTCAGCGCCCTGGATGGCAAAGTTGAGAGAATCAGAAAAAAATTATGTGCTGAGAAATAAATATAAAACAAGAGCTCTCTCTCTCTCTCTCCTCTCTCTCTCTCTCTCTCTCTCTCTCTCTCTCCTCTCTCTCTCTCTCTCCCTCTCTCTCTCTCTCTCTCTCCTCCTCTCTCCCTCACTCTCTCTCTCTCTCTCTCTCTCTCGCTCTCTCTCTCTCTCCCTCACTCTCTTTCTCTCTGTCCCTCACTCTCTTTCTCTCTCTCTCTCTCTCTCTCTCTCTCGGTTGTGCTTCTCCTGTGTATAGAATATAAAAGCTTGACAGCAAACCATTTCCAACCCCGATGAGAGAGGTCCCGACGACTGATGGCGTGATAAAGCGACGCCAGATAAAGACGTGGCTCGGCATCAAAAAACTTTTGTTTGCTGTTTACTAAAGTGGCTATTTAAACTATCTTCACCTACTTGTGTGCAGGCACATAGCAACAACTTTTTTTAGTGTGAGGCCTTAGTCTGAAATTGCCCAAATCATTACTCAGCAATGTTGCCGTGAGCTTTCGCAACAATAGGTATTTTTATAAATGAGTCCTGTAGCCTTCTCCCTGCAATAATTTGCTCCTGCCCTGGCATCACAAACTGCATTTTATTATGAATAGCTTTTACAATGGATGATATCAGCTACACAGGCTTTCTCTGAGCATTACTAGATCAATGAAGACTAAAGCAGATCAATTGGATACCTATAATGACTCAGGCCAGTCAATTTGTCTTGGGTCCCCATAGAACGTCCCTGATGAAGACAAGGGGACAGATGAGATGATATATGAGGTGGAGGTGTGAGTAAATGTCTGGGGGTGGGGCGATAAAGGCGTTTGTTGACTTTTCAGTCTTTTTGTTTTCTCTCAGCCTGGATAAGATCCTGGCTGCCATGACAATTGCAGCGGAGAGGAATAACAAGGAGAGATTTGCTCTGATAGTGGAGGGACTGGAGAATCACGAGGCCCAACAGCTCCAGGTCAGTATATACAACCCCTATTGGACACACACACACAGTCACAAACTCACACTTCGTGCAAATCCCATTGACAACAGTGTGTGATTTATGCGTGACATTGAGTCATGTACACCTTTCTCACATCTTTCCATTAGAACCTCATAAATATCCACTTCAATCCACAACTCTCTTTCAACCTGCCCTTTACGGAGTAGCACATGGTGCAATTTCTGTATTATTTCAATGCTAGTCTGCTTGGATTCGAGTCATACATCAATATTATGTTTATCAACCTTTCCAAGTTCTAACTATGACCTCAACCTGTAGGCCTCTGAGGCAAGTTGTGGAAAGAAACATATTTTTAAAACTCACAAATATGCACATCACACATAACAAAGTAAAATCATTAGGGTCTGTCATGTCATGTGCAATGGAGAGAACTCGGCTCTAGTCAGTGTCATTCTCACAAATGGCCCCTTGGCTTGGAGCCGGTGTTTGACACGGAGGGCCAGGTTGAAATTGACTGTTCTGTCACTCAGGGGTCTACTGTACCTCAGCCCCTGTTGACGGTTACACACATTTCCTCTCCCTTGCCCTCCTGGCTTTGTGTCTGCTTGTCAACCTCTGGCACCTAAGCTGTTTGCTGGGAGTCAACCAAGGGTTCTCTCTCCTGGCCTAATCAACACCACCCGCTTAACTAGAGGAGCTCTACCAGAACTGTTTTACTCTCTTTTAAGGATTATTTTGAGAACTCTTTTAAGAACTCTGAAATATAACACAAGACCAAAAGAGAGATGTTGACTTCCTGAGATGTTTTATCCCATTCTCGTAACAAATATGTTTCTGCTTTTTCTCAGTGTTGTTGAGACGGGTCTCTGAGGACCCAGAGGAAAAGGGCAACCATGCAGCAACATACCTGTCTTTACTTCTGTTGTTTTCCCTTCACTGTTTCTTTCTCTGGCACTTTTTTGCAAGCAGTCTTTTTTTATTTGTAGGTGGGGGGGACTATGGGATGGAGATAAGGGAGGAAGGGGTGATGGGGAGGGAGGGATGGGGGGATGGAGGGATGGGGGAAGGAAGGATGGGGAAGGAGGGATAGGGGAAGGAAGGATGGGGAAGGAGGGGAGGTAGAAATCCTTGGATTGTGCTGGCCTTGTTTTCCTCCTTCATAAAATGTCCGCTAATGAAAAGGGCCACCGCTAATTGTGAAGTAAATTAAACTACCTTGCTGATGCATAAGGTTCAAAGAAATTAGAATACTTTTTATAAACCTTGTGATGGTGCTGTGGAGCCTGACTTTGTTAATGTGATTAAAATGGGTTTTGCTGCGGTTCGGGCTTTGCTCTCTCCGCTGCAGAGAGAAAGCCAGCATGCATCCCGACTTTAAACCGTCCCAGCAGTCCCACTTTTAATTACACTGACAGAAACCTCCTACGGCAAGCATGGCTCACATGATGCCTGAGCTCTCTTCTCGCACCATTGCTAAACCCCAAAAACAAGCACCACAATAACCCTTCTCGAACCAATTCCACACAACAAACATGGTTGAGGTTTGTCTGCTTCGTACAATAGAAGTAAAAAAAATTAACATTGAGGGAGCTTTATGGGCCTAGTCACTCATCCAGACTAAATAACTCTCGAAATAGCTCTCTTCCTTTTGAAAGAAAAAAAATGGAAGTAAAGTAATGGGAGTGAAGTTAGTGACATTTCAGCGAGGCTTCCAGTGTAGCGTCCCTGGTGGGTAGACTTCAGGCTTGGATGCCCAGCTCTTGGTCCAAGGCTCTGGAGGTCCTATTGGAGCGGTTTGATGTCTGCTATGTTGCTGCTGCCTGACACCATTGGCATGTTCTCAAAGCCACGGTCTCATCCCCTTCCACCCCACCCCACCAGTAGGGCTGGTGCAGCACAGAACAACCTTGGAATTCTCCTTAAGCATACTGCTTTCCCGGGGCGTGGCAGGCCTGGCACATATGTAAAGAGTCTCCATTAGCACTGACACGTCCCCATAAACCATAACACCAGGTTCCCTCACTCCACTGGATTAATACAAACCTGTTCGATCCCACTGTCCCCCGGCTATAGAAGGGGGGGGAAACACACCGAAAACAAACCAATGCTGTTCATTCCAGATGGCTATTATTCCCTATCGCCAAGCGAATTCCCACTAATTACGTTCTCCGAGGGCATGAATTGGGCTAGCGTGATGATTGTGTGTGTGTGTGTGCCTGTGTGTGGGTGTGCGCGCGCGCGGGTGTGCGTGTGTTTGTCTGTAAGCCTCTCGCCAGGAAAAACACCTACAGGAGGAATCGGTGTGAAAAACAGCCAAGCGACAGCATTCACTACGACCCGTTAAAAAAAAGATGTGGGCCAACACAAACATGCCGATAGAGGTTTTCTATAGGCTACTTTTCACATGCCAATCACGGAGAACCTTCAGCTCCTGATCGATCCGCCTGTGGGAGGAACACTCCGTCTTCTCCTGGTGCTGCTCCCCGGAGCCACCTTACAGCCCATTAAGGCCCATCAGCATTTTCCTCTTCCTCCCATCCTCCCATCCCTCTTCTCTTCCCTAATCCAATAAATCAATTACAAATGCACATCTGGTCAGTAAACTCCCCAGACCTCTTCTCTTTTCCACTTCCTCTTACCCTCTACTTCCTTTTTGCTGCCTCTACACCAGAATCAGACTATGGTCTATCTCTGCTCTCTCCTCTCCTCTCCTCTCTCCTCTCCTCTCCTCTTTCCTGTCTTAACTCTTCATGTTAAGTAGAATGAATGCCATAAATGCGTTCTCTCTAACAGTCTCTCTGGCATGTGTGTGCTGGACAACAGGTGGCCTGCATGCAGTTGATCAACGCTCTGGTCACCTCTCCGGACGATCTGGACTTCAGGATACATCTGCGAAACGAGTTCCTCCGCTGTGGCCTCAAGAAGATCCTACCGGTGAGTTACAGTACAAGGGGCTCTACGTCAACACACCTTCAGGGGCATAGAGATACATTCAATTGGCAGTCTAGATATCATCTGTGTGTTGTTTTACATGCATAAAACCTCTCTTAGCAAGTGAGAGTATAGTGAATGGTGTCTGTGAGTATTGACGTTTTTGGGGCCATGAAGGACATTACAGGAAGCTGAGGACATCCCTGTATACTTCTATACTGTATGTATACATCTGAGTTGAGGCAGATTTGGACCCGAAACTCTCTGATGAAACAGTCCGCTACACATTTCCCAATTGGGACAATGAATGATTGACTACCCCTCCAACTCCCATTAAACAGTTAGTCTTAGGCCCTAGTCCTCCCTGCCTCTCCCTGTTTGCCTGCGAGAGACGAAGCTCCTTCTGTCTCGCCTCCACATTGCTTCCATTATTATATTGGAGCGTTCTAGCTCACCTCACCGCAGGCACCACCTCACTGATCACAGCTCGCCATGGCATCATTATCAATCAGCAGACAGATCCTTGCACTCGGCATCCACTCATCCCTCATGACCTCATTTGCAGAGGGGAATTTGCCACGTGTTAATAAGTCATCTTGACTGCTCCGCTTGATTATCGCTGTCATTAGTTTAATTATCTTCATATCTGCCCCCCGATATGATGGAGTTTCCTTTACAATCATTTATAAATGCCGCATTTGACGCTTTAATGCCGGCATTTAAACTGAGGCGGGGCCCACTAATTGTGTAATGTTGTGGAGCCAATACAGTCAGGTGACCAAGAGGAAAGCTAAAGTGAACCAGTTCTATGATAAAGTACTGAGAGGTTGCTATTGGCCCAGAGTCCTTGAGACCTCTCCTTTCTGTGGCACTGCATGCTACCTCCCTCTCCGAACCGGCGTTTCCCAAGACGGATGGCATGCCCGAAGAGCAGCGAGGTGATTGATAGCTGCAGAAATTGGGTTACATTTGGCCTGGTGCCGTCTGTAAACTCTTAACGCCGATGATTCATAGGAAAGTTGTAAAGTGCACCATTATAGCCCCTCGTGGAGGGAGCAGGTGTGGAGCGCTGGGCGATTCAGGTATACCAGGCCGGCAGGGAATGAGAGGAATGGGTGTCCTAGTTCCCATACAGCTGTGACTTGGAAACCAGCATACACTGGTCTCCGTTAATGGAACCAGTATAGGCTAGTACAATCAGGTTAGGTTTGGTTTATTTACGTTCTGATAACACTGTGTATAATTTAATCCATACTATATATACATTCAGTCCTCTATTGACTATTACCACAGTCTATTCATGTCTCTCTGAATTACAGGAGCTGGAAGAGACAGAGGAGCTGGACATCCAACTGAAGGTGTTCAACGAGAACAAGGAGGAGGACTCCATTGAGCTCTCCCATCGCCTCGATGACATCCGCGCCGAGATGGAATATCCTTTTGTCTGCCCGTGCTGCTGCACCGGCCATGGAAAAGGGCTGCTGGAAATGAGTGTATTGTGGGGGCCTTGCCAGGCTTACAGGTTTAAAGCCGGCATGGTCGGGTTCATTAGAGAAGGATTTGAGGAACTATAGTGCAATAAAAGTTTTAGTGCGGTTGTTTTGGCTGGCACACAGAGGTCCATCTTCAGTAACCTCTTTGTTTTGTCTCGTTAATCACACCTGTGTCCAATTGAGCAAGTACTTTACCTTTCTCCCGCTCCCTTTTAGCTAGATATGACAAGTTGGTGTCTCCAAGTCGACCCTCTATGTCCGCTCAACTGGAAACTTTTTGAGTGGTTAATAAAGTGAGCCCTAATTGGGTCTCGAGTTTAAGACTTGTTTTAAAGCATTCTTGGCTAGGTGCCTAAATAATTCAAGCAGCTTCTCTAAGGGCATTTGGATGTGTGAAACGCTGACATGGTAGGCAGACACTGTTATACAGATGTTCTCACTGCTAACCTTTGTCTCCCCAAATCTCACAGTGCTCGAAAATCTGCCACTGAGTGCTGCGCTGAGTGACAGTTACTGTTGACGCTCTGAGAGAAAGAAAGGAAAAGAAGAAAAAAAACACCACACCTGGATTAATGATATGCTTGAGCAGGTTCACAAATGAGAGGGCCCAATGTTTGTTTCCAAGGACAACGTGATGTTAATCTGTGCTATCTCTAGTCTCTGACACACACAAACATGCACACATACACACACACACAAGTAGCTTGTAGCTTGTTTTCCCTGCCTCATGAATACTAACACTGAGAGGCACGTCTCCTCTGTGTCCAGCCCAGGTCTGGCTGCTGAGGATGTGACTTCAGGCCACTAATGAATATTAATGATGGTGTGAAATAGTGATTGATTGACCCTACCACTGACTAGTCCACATCTCACCTCCACTGCTGCTCATGTTTATTCATGCTCCCCAGCTCCACAACATGAGTAGAAGTAAAATGTAGAGAGAGAAGAGAGATAGAGATTGAGAGAGAGAAATGTGGGCCTTTGGATTTGCATTGTTCTGTAGGTAGAGCTTTTTTTCATGTTTGCTGCTTACTGATAGATGTAGCTGCTTGAACCGTTTCTTACTCATAGATGTAGCTGCTTGAACCGTTTCTTACTCATAGATGTAGCTGCTTGAACCATTTCTTACTCATAGATGTAGCTGCTGGGATCCTTTCTTACTGATAGATGTAGCTGGTTGGACCCTTTCCCAGTCTGGGCTTCTACTCTACTAATGTCCCCCCTCAGATAGTGGTGTGGCGAGACCATAATTACATCTCACCGGTTTGGTAATTCTCATCGGCTTCTTCCAGGCTCATACAGGAGTGGGAAGCTATACTTCACAGAAGCCTGTATTTCCATCCCCTGCACTCGCCGAATTTGATATGGGAGAACTATTTTGATTACAGACGTGGCTGAAGTTAATAGGAAAATGTCAGACGGTGTTAAAAAGGATTGATTTGCACTGATGGCAGTGGATGGATCATGTGGTGTATGAAATAGTGGGAACAGTTGTAGAGTATGGAGCAGTGTTCTGTCATTTTGGGTGTGTCATGTCTTTGCATTGGTTGTCAAGTGATGTTCTTTCACGCTTAAGTAACTTTTCAGAAGTGATCAATACTCAATTGTCATTCAACAGTCTTTTGAGACGATGAACTTAACAGTTTTCCATCGTAGCGGATATAATTTGCTTTAAACAACTTTGACGGGTCCACACAACTTTGACATGGCCTATTTATGTAGCTAAAAACCCCGAAACGAAGCTCGTCCAACCATGTCCTCTCCCCTTATCTGAGGAAGCCAGGCCCTTGGTCCTTCCTTTTAAGCCCTCTGGACTAAACAAGAACACAAATCAGATATCTTTATTTACTGCTGGGTGACCACAGACAAATGTGAATGAATGCAGAGCCACTGACTGTGAAAGTGTTTTAGCTCAGACAGTGTATAACGTCGCAGTCAGGGCGTAAATATTTCAGCAGACATTGTTAAAACGCACACTTCATATTATGACGGCAATCAGTTTTTCATCCTTCCCAGCTTAACACTGCACTATTCCCCCTCACTCTATTCCCCCTCACTCTATTCCCCTTGTTTTCTGCATGTGTGCACAGATTGAAAATAAGGCTGTTTTTATTTTAGTTTTATTACATGCTTTTCAAACAAGATGAATATCCACGGGAGGATCCTTTCTCAAGCAAACAGTTTTGTATAAGCCCCCTCAAGCTATTTATTTATCTAAATTCTTTACAGTTTTGGGACTGGGTTTGTTGTTAGTTCGAAGAAGATCAAATGTAATCTTGCTATAGATAAAAATTAAATGTGAATATTCCTCGTAAACACAGATGATATACAATATTCTGTAATGTGATATTATTCTGAAATCCCACTTGGATATTATGTTTAAACACATGCACATCTCAAGAGAAATAACTTTTTCCTTGATTTGAACATTGCTCCCTTTGGTTTCAATTCCATACAAATCAACTGTGAGATGTTGTGCCAAGCGCTCCATTTTGCAGCCTCTGACAGTTCTTGATCTGAAACAAATAGCCACCAATCCAACTCAGAGAAATGGACATAATGAAATTAAAAATACACCACAGACAGTGATTTCTTATCTGATTCAACAACTATTTTAGACATCACAAGCCATTGCTTGCGCTCCTTGGGGAGACATATAATCAGTACCTTTAGTTTAATAACACATATTTTCACTTCGACGGACAAGGCACAATCTGAGGCAATATTTTCCACAGTGACTGATCCCCTTTTCATGATTCTGCCTAAATATTCAAACCCATTGGAGTTTTCATGTGATTAATGTCCTCCTCCTTGAAAGGCGCAGAGTGGAACACAGGGACTGTTCTTTATTGCCAAATCCCCTCCTAAAGTTAGCTGTTTACTCTGCCGCTCCCGAGAGGGAAAACAAATGTGAGGAATCGTCGCAGTGTTTGCTTGTGCACAATGACACCTGTCTGAGTACTAGATCGAGATGGGTAAACAAACACTGTGATTTGAGGATCTATTGACATTATTCTGATGGATTTTAGAATGCACTGCCACTGTCACTATATTATTAGTTTGACATATAAGCACATATTTAAGCACTCCTTCATCCCCATGTCCATCTAATACCTAAACAGCAATAGGTAAAGCTGAGCTGTGTTTATATGCCACTGACAGAATAAGGGAATGTGAAAAGTATTATGTATGTGGCTATATGAGAAGTGTTCAAATCAAACTGTATTGGTCACATACACATATTTAGCAGATGTTATTTTGGGTGTAGGGAAATGCTTGTTACAATGTGTATAATATGTGTGAATGTGCTTTTCCCCTTGGGGACATTAAAGTTAATCCTATCCTATATGAGGAAAGGTAGTGAAAGGTTATAAGGGACTTGGTTAGAGAGGGCACATGAATTGTAAATGTTTTGCCTGCTTTAAATCCGCTAGTCTGTCATAGTAGCCTACTGCTATTGCAAGCTGTTTTCTCTCAACTGTTTGCTCTACAAGCTACACTGCCATGACATTATATACCTTAACCCCCTTCTCACTGATATGGGTGAGGTGTACCATATCCTGTCCAATATGGTGAAAGACACAGGGTCGGAGACCTACTTCCTGTCCATCCTACAGCACCTCCTGCTCATCAGGAACGACTACTACATCAGGTGAGTTCTGCCCACAAGCAGCCACATCCCTTCTCACTGCCTTCAGAGGAAGACTGCATTTCCACAAGACTGTTCTTGAGAAAAGCATAAGGCTGAAATGTCGACATTAAACAGTCTCTACTCTATTCACACTTCTTGTTTTCTTTTTCAATAGTATGTAGCCCCTATAAGGCATACACTTTACTGTGTAGCGCTGCTGCGCTAATGCTGCATTATCAATGCAGAAACCTCAAGGACGTCCTCTCCTTGACACCGCATTCGAGTAAGGTCAGATAACGAAACGCGCCTGACCCCTGTCGATAGCAGTGTGCCACAACCCTTGTAAAACTACAGTACTTCCTATAGCGAGTGCTATTCTCAAAGCCTTGCCATCTCCCATCTCCCAGGGGAAGGAATGTAAGCATTCAACATGAAAGATTCACATGTCCATTTTCTCCTCTCAGGGCGTCTCTCTCTCTCTCTCTCTCTCTCTGTCTCTTCTCTCGGTATCAGAGCAGATCTAATATTCTGTACTTTTGAACAATTAAGTTATTATTCAAATGGCGGCCCGGCTCTGGATCCCGCCTCGGCAGTGTAAATGTGTCAATCACAGGAAAAAAGAGGGAGACAGTGACGGCTCCTCTGATGGCAATGACAGTGATCAATTCACTGCTGTGTCAGACTTTTCGCAGAAATAAAATATTTAACAAAAAATTGAGAGAAGACAAGAGGAATTTACCATAGACAAGTTGCTGCTCACTCGGCTGGTATAAATAATGCATTCCTCATCTTGGTGGAGAAAGTGAGAAATAGAAAACACATTAAGTAGCTAGTGCAGCACAGTACCTCAGCACTCCTCTCTGTGTCTTTCCCCCACTACTGACGCCAATGCTCTTCACCACCGACAGTAAAAAAAGGATCACTACAAATGCTAATTAAAAATGGATGTACTTATTAAAGATATGCTTTTAAAAATACATTTCCCACCACTCTCCCTCCTTCCCTACTCCATGAGCAAGACATAATTCCACATACATCACCGGGCTTTGCGAGGTGCGGTCGGTCTGACGCAATGTTCTATATCCAGCTCAGGCCTCAATTCATCATCAATACATCATTTTTCGGCCACTTTGAACCAGCATATCTTTTTATGTTTCAGATTAAATTGGCTGATTGGGAAATGGTAGGTCTTTAATTTTAGATTAAAGGGAGACCTTAAGATCATTTTTGGCTTTGATTACCGTATCTCTATTGGGATCCGGGGAGGGAGGAAGTGGGCCACTCGCAGTCGCTGTCAGGCCAAATCAGGTGATGGAGCAAAACATGTCCATAGGTGTATGCAATGGCTTCCTGATCAAAGGGACGCATAACATGCCTATGCCAATATTCCAGCAGAACGGGGACTTTGGTTTCAAAGGTGCTATGTTTTATACATTTTAAACAGGACAGCCATGTACCCTGTTTCAACAGGACAGCCATGTACCCTGTTTTCAACAAGACAGCCATGTACCCTGTTTCAACAGGACAGCCATGTACCCTGTTTCAACAAGACAGCCATGTACCCTGTTTCAACAAGACAGCCATGTACCCTGTTTCAACAGGACTGCCATGTACCCCGTTTCAACAAGACAGCCATGTACCCTGTTTCAACAGGACAGCCATGTACCCTGTTTCAACAGGACATCCATATACCCTGTTTCAACAGGACATCCATATACCCTGTTTCAACAGGACATCCATATACCCTGTTTCAACAGGACATCCATATACCCTGTTTCAACAGGACAGCCATGTTTCAACCCTCTGATGAACTTCAGGTTCAAAACACAGGGCAGACATCTTGACAATACTTGTGTGTTAATTTTGGAGGAGCACCTCTCGAAGCCATCACCAATTGTCGCATCAACAATTCCTCTTCCCGTCCTCGGAGGGTGAAGGGGGGGGGGGCTTGTTTTATTTTCGATAATTAATCTGCGAGTGCCATGCTTAATGAATGGGAGCAAACCCCTGCTAAATATAGAGCAGATCTCCTATTTTGGAGCAGAGCGATATGGGGATTACACTGGTTATGTGGAGCAGGGCTGGACCAGGGACTGCGAGGGGAGTTTGTGCTGCTGCTAGAAGCCAAATGTCATGTGGAGGGGGAAGGTGCCAGAGTGAAGGAGTGAAGGATGATGCTGGGGACATATGTTGGCTTCTGGAGCCCAGCCTTGCCCAGGCTCTGGTGGGGCCTGACAGTTCTGGGTCACTCGCTCGCTCCTTCCCATTCTCAGTTATATCGGTGGTAGTGGCAGAAAGGAGCGGGGGATGCTGGGAAAATAGGGAGGCTTATTGAGATAATAATGTGGTCTACATCGGTGACAGTCATAAAACGGGTTGCCGCGGTGCTAAGCCACACAGGGGCGACGTGCACTCGCTCGATCTCGTGATGAGTGGGGGAATCCAGTTGTAGGAACAAAACATCTGCCATTTCATGCTTACAAAAACGGTTTTACTTGTTTTGGTTCTTATAATATCTGTTTACAGTATGATAAGACCTGCCCACATTTTAGAGGGAACACTGATTTACTCCTTGTCATCACAAATAAAGCCCCACATACAGTGGGGGAAAAAAGTCAACTATGACAGACAAATTGAGAATTTTTTTCTCCAGAAAATCACATTGTAGGATTTTTAATGAATTTATTTGCAAATTATGGTGGAAAATAAGTATTTGGTCACCTACAAACAAGCAAGATTTCTGGCTCTCACAGACCTGTAACTTCTTCTTTAAGAGGCTCCTCTGTCCTCCACTCGTTACCTGTATTAATGGCACCTGTTTGAACTTGTTATCAGTATAAAAGACACCTGTCCACAACCTCAAACAGTCACACTCCAAACTCCACTATGGCCAAGACCAAAGAGCTGTCAAAGGACACCAGAAACAAAATTGTAGACCTGCACCAGGCTGACAAGACTGAATCTGCAATAGGTAAGCAGCTTGGTTTGAAGAAATCAACTGTGGGAGCAATTATTAGGAAATGGAAGACATACAAGACCACTGATAATCTCCCTCGATCTGGGGCTCCACGCAAGATCTCACCCCGTGGGGTCAAAATGATCACAAGAACGGTGAGCAAAAATCCCAGAACCACACGGGGGGACCTAGTGAATGACCTGCAGAGAGCTGGGACCAAAGTAACAAAGCCTACCATCAGTAACACACTACGCCGCCAGGGACTCAAATCCTGCAGTGCCAGATGTGTCCCCCTGCTCAAGCCAGTACATGTCCAGGCCCGTCTGAAGTTTGCTAGAGTGCATTTGGATGATCCAGAAGAGGATTGGGAGAATGTCATATGGTCAGATGAAACCAAAATATAACTGTTTTTCTGCAAAGGGACCAGGACGACTGATCCGTGTAAAGGAAAGAATGAATGGGGCCATGTATCGTGAGATTTTGAGTGAAAACCTCCTTCCATCAGCAAGGGCATTGAAGATGAAATGTGGCTGGGTCTTTCAGCATGACAATGATCCCAAACACACCGCCCGGGCAACGAAGGAGTGGCTTCGTAAGAAGCATTTCAAGGTCCTGGAGTGGCCTAGCCAGTCTCCAGATCTCAACCCCATAGAAAATCTTTGGAGGGAGTTGAAAGTCCGTGTTGCCCAGCGACAGCCCCAAAACATCACTGCTCTAGAGGAGATCTGCATGGAGGAATGGGCCAAAATACCAGCAACAGTGTGTGAAAACCTTGTGAAGACTTACAGAAAACGTTTGACCTGTGTCATTGCCAACAAAGGGTATATAACAAAGTATTGAGAAACTTTTGTTATTGACCAAATACTTATTTTCCACCATAATTTGCAAATAAATTCATAAAAAATCCTACAATGTAATTTTCTGGATTTATTTTTCTCATTTTGTCTGTCATAGTTGACATGTACCTATGATGAAAATTACAGGCCTCTCTCATCTTTTTAAGTGGGAGAACTTGCACAATTGGTGGCTGACTAAATACTTTTTTTCCCCACTGTATAAGATGTACAGTATAGTTTAAGCAGAAATCCAATAATTTACATGTTTGGTCAATATGCACTCGTATGTGTAGTATCCCCATGCATGTTCAGAGCTCTCCACATCTTTTGTTTATTAAAGTGATCTCTCTGAAATTAAATGCGTTCCCAACATATCCAGCCTATTTGGTTCACGATCTTTGAGCGGTCAAAGCAATGAATCTATTTGAGCCACAATGCTCTTACCTCCTACTCCCCTTTCCAAAGGCAGTAAAACAAGAGCAGGACTTTGAAACAAGCTTTGATTTCCTTATCTGCATCGGAGCCATGTTATGATCTCAGCCTTCTGAGCCTCCCCGCCACGCACCCTGAGTATCAGTTAGCAGCATGGCGCCTGACCACAGAGGCCAGGAGGAAATTAAAGCACAGCAAATCTGCCTAATAAAGGCCTCCCTCAGAAAACATATGAGTGTACATGAGGACCGGCTGGCAGCTGTGCCTAACCTCTTCACCCACAGTGTGTTTTGGAGGCTTCTCACATAGTCACAGTACAAAATTATTCTCTATATGCCATATATAGGAGCGGTTTTCAGTTCCAATTCTCCATTAATGGCAATTTATTTTGTCCAGGACTAGGTTTAACCTATTCACGGGAATCCTCCCCATATAATCTATGGTAGTTATTATCATATATGCATGGATTGTATTTTTTGTTAAACATACAGAATAATACATACAGCATTTCCACCGGGTGTCACTCAGCACCACTTTAATTAAACAAACTCCAGGTAATTGTCCAATTAAGTGATTTGTGAAACTTTTGAGACTTGGTAGAGTATAGGTTATACTTGTACACTGCATTCACATATTTTTTAGTGTCACACTAATCATTCCTTTCCATGCTGTTCCATACTGCCCTGAGGAAGTAATCCTAATATGTTGGAATAGGCATCATACAGTACTGTAAGTTTGATATGACTGGCAATAACTCCTCGTAACCTGGAAAGATTCACATTAATTCTGTTAATCCCGGATTTAACTAGCATTGTCCGGGAGCAAGTGATAACTGTACCTATAGTGTGGATATGAGCCGAGCGACAGTTCCTCAAAAACGGTCCCCATCATAAAAATTCAGCCTCCATTTGGTCAAGTGGGGGGTATTTCTGGTGTGAAAATTGTATTTCTGCTGGCACCATTCAAGGTCATGCTTGGAACATCAATATTTGTCACTACGGGGCTCATCTTAAGTTGGCATTTTATTTGCTAAACGTCACTTGCAATTAAAGTTGATAATATAACTGGGGAAAGGTCACCCGCCAACTTGTGTGGTGCGAACAGGAGTCCCCGGCCGACTCAGACACCGCCCGCCGCCACCCGAGACCCCATCGTTCTGTCACCCTCCCAAAACATGCGACATGTTCTCCATGCCATTGTGCTTTTAATTACACATATTACACTGATTAGATTTGCATTTCAGGTTCATGGGCGCCCTTAATTGACAAAGATGATTGCAAATTAGGCGAGCGGGCATCGTGACGGCCGGCTGCACTCCCCGTTTGTCACCTTGAATAGACGCGAGTCACGCCGCTCCGAGTTCCACGTCACCGAGATTAATCTAGCGATTTCACGATCAGCATAAAAGCATGTGATCAAATTTAATTCAGATTTTTTTTGGGGGGGGCATTCTGTGACCTCTAGGTTGGCTAAGGTGATATTTTGTGGAGAATTAGGGCTGTGTAAGTTTGTGTCACTCTTGTTCTTGATGTCTGTGCTAACTCTGTTGTGTTCTGCTCACTGCTCTCCCAGGCCCCAGTACTACAAGGTAATAGAGGAATGTGTGTCTCAGGTGGTCCTCCATCGCAGCGGGATGGACCCAGACTTTGGATACAGAGAGAGACTGGATGTAGACTTCACCCACCTCATCGGTAGGTCTGCCAGAGCTCTGTCTTTCCTCTGACATTTAAAAGGGTGAATTTGCAGCCGGTTGAAATTATGTCATTATGAACACATTTGAAACAGTTTCTGGTTTCTGGTTAGAATTACATAATTTCAAACAGTTTTGCCTCCTAGGTCACCCTAACCTACATACTGTACAGACAGAACGAAAACAAGTAAAAAAAATAGCTTGAATCAATATCTATGTTTTTTTTATACTAGTCTTGTTATTCATATTTTGTCTCCTAATCGGTCTAAATCATCCTCACATATTTTTCTGTTGTACTACGGACAGCAGGATGTGGGTGTTGCTAAAATTTTTGCAATATCCCTCTCATTATTATGTATCCCCATTTCCCCCCCGAGAGCCTTCCCAGAAAAACCTGCAGCCACTTGACATGTATAGGAAAAGGTAGTCTAATTATGAATAAATAATGCATTACTTGTTAGGTGGGACTGTGGCACATCATGTCTCATCATAAGCACATGGAGATTTCACAGCGTTTTCACTCTGCCGAGGACATTCATCAGTCGAGTTTCATGAATCCTAGAGGAAACAAGGTCTATTTGCCCCAAATTAGATATGCAGTCATTAATTTCCTTCAAATAGAGACAGATTAATGAAATAACTGAGTGTTTTAATTTTTGATTTTTTGTTATTCTGTTAGTATCACTAACAGTTCTGTGGCATCTTGCCAACAAAGTCTCATTAAAAGTTTCCAAGCCCCTCCGTTATTTTCTCACTGTGCTGTAATGAGTTGAAAACAAATGTTTCTGGGTTTTAAAAAAATAATTACATCAGCAAACCTGCCGAACAGAATACAAATATCCCGGGGGATATGTCAAGAAGAGAATGAGCCTTTCCCCGCCCTTTCTACGCTCATTCCCTCTCTGTCTCTCTGATGTAATATTCATTTTAGGTTTGATCTGGAATCTTAACAATATACAGTGTAATTGAGAGAATCAAAGTCACTTCATGGTTGCTTACTGTCGTTGCTGCTGTCTGCCTCCTTTTGTCTTACAGATCAGTGCGTGGATAAAGCCAAAGTGGATGAGAGCGAACTGAAGGCTGCTGAGTTCTCCAAAAAGGTGAGGTATTATGCATCATTCCCCTCAACGCCATTGGTATGCCACCACCACACTCCCATCAGAAATGTTTTCCCGCCCAGAGCTCCTGGTCCAGCTATTGATTCTGGGCCCTGATCAATAGCTGGTGAAATAGTTCAACAAACTCTCTCAGATATGTTTTCGGAATTAAGTTTTAAAGTAAAAGCTACAGTGTTGAGGAACTCCTGAAGCTTTTAGAGACTTTTTTTTTTTTTTTTTTTTACATTTTAGTCATTTAGCAGACACTCTTATCCAGAGCGACTTACAGTTAGTGAGTGCATAATTATTTTTTTCTTCATACTAGTCCCCCGTGGTAATCGAACCCACAACGCAGGCGTTGCAAGCGCCATGCTCTACCAACTGAGCTACATGGGTTCAGTAGTTTATTAAGCATCCACACCTACTTTATTAAGCATCCACACTGATCTTCAAAGATAGGGAAAATACACTTCATGCACTTTATTTTTTATGTAATGATAGACAGTACAATCACTTTACACTATATATTTGAAACCGAGCACCTCGATTCGGTCTTATGTAGCAACATTTCACATTACTGTCTCTGGTAAACACACACTATATCAAATAAAATCCAAGTTTATTTGTCACATGCACAGGATACAGAAGGAGCAAACGGTACAGTGAAATGGTTACTTGTATAGTAGAAATATCTTGTCTAAATTGATGGGTCATGTGAAAGAAATGCTATAACCACCCCCCAGCCACATCTAGCTTAGTGGATGGGTCACTATTGTCTAGACATGTACACATGTTCATGAAAAACAATAGATGGCCGTAATCATCCATAGACACACCTAACTTGATGGGTCATGTAATCATCTGGCGAAGTGGAGTCTTTTGTTTAGACATGTAGCTAGCTAGCTAGCTAAACAATGAACCTGCATAATCCCAACTCATCCTACTACCAATACAAACATTGTCATAGCTGTAGTATGAATCTGCAGGTAGCTAAAGAGCAACTGTAACCAACTAGGTTCAATGTTAGCTAGCTAACATTAGGCTATAATTAGCAATGCAAATTAATTTCTGATTCAAATAATATTACTACACAGATCATACACGTAACGTTAGCTAGCAAGCCAGCAAGCTAACGTTTGCTATCTAGCTAACAGTACACTTTAACTTGCAATGAAAACGACTTTCTGACAAAATAAGAAACTTATAATATCTGAAAATGTAGCTAGACTCTTACCCGTATACATGGATGAACACTTCATGGCAGACTGGAACCATTTAACTTTGTTATGTTTGTAGCTACATCTTGTTTGGCCAGCGTTGTGTCAAGTCACTCCAGTTCACACTGACTGTGACGTGTGCAGAAAGTAGCCCATCACTTTTTCCAACTGATCTGTCGATAGCGCCTGCTAAATTCAGGGCATCAATGTTGTTGAGAAAAGTAGCCAAACTTTTGTAGTTCTCGATGGCTAACGTTATATCTTTAAAGAACGGCACAGTAGAAACGACTATCAACACGTACTGACTAGCTCACGTTATAGACTGAAGCATGCTACATGGCAGACCAATCGAAACTCATCTCCCGGCATGTCCAGCCCATCCATTATCTCAGCCAATCTTGGCTAGTGGGAAGGTTCTTGTCTTTTTCCGTGACTAAACCAACTAGGCTCGTAATTTAACGATTATATTTGTATTTATGGATGGAATACAAGTTTGTTATTAAAACACATGAAAGTTCACATATTCCAGAAGGCATTTCTGCCACAAAACACATTTTGATAAAACAAATGTTGAAGTTCAAATGCCTCCTGTGAAGTAGTGATGCGCGATATACGCCTAGTTTCCTGAAACGAGTCACATTTTTCAGTACACCACCAGTACTGTGAGTCACTGGTCCTTCCAGCAAAATCCTCCAGAAGTGTTTTGGTGCATGTGACTCAGACCTTAAAGGCATGGTACTCAAGTTTGAACCCTAAAGGCATGGTACTCAAGTTTGAACCAGTCCCTAAAGGCATGGTACTCAAGTTTGAACCAGTCCCTAAAGGCATGGTACTCAAGTTTGAACCAGTCCCTAAAGGCATGGTACTCAAGTTTGAGCCAGTCCCTGAAGGCATGGTACTCTAGTTTGAACCAGTCTGTAAAGGCATGGAACTGTATCACCATGCCGCAGATGCCCCCACAGTCCCCCCGCAATAACCCTGCCTCTGTGTGGGGGACATCTGAGGTGTCCTGGGTGTGAGTGGAATGAGAGCAGTGTCCCCCCCCCCCCTGCGGCGACAGTAAAAACATTGTCCTGACACAGGTTGCTTTCCCACAAAGGTTAGGTCCGTCACCAACACATGAAAGCCAGACTCAAATCACAGCCAGAGGACGATGGGGTAGAGGCCACCAAAGGCCTATGAATAGAGGTGGGAGATGGGGGGCCTGGTGCGTGCGAGACAGTGTGTGGGTGTGTTTCAGTGTGTGTTGACGTGCCCTGCAGTTGGCCGTTCACTTGAGACGCCCTGGTCCTGACCGGAGTGTGTGTTGTGTTGAATTGTTGCAGTTCGATGAAGAGTTCAGCGCCCGGCAGGAGGCCCAGGCCGAGTCCCAGAAGAAAGAGGAGAAAATCAAAGAGCTGGAAGGGCAGATCTGCAACCTGAAGACCCAGGTAATGGCCAGAGGAGAGAGGAGGGGGCATGCACACCCACTACTCCAGATTGCAGTCTGAAGCCACAAGCTCTCCATAGAGGTCTTGCACAGTGTCCATGTGTTCACAAATACATACATTGTCTGTACAACAGGTTTTTCCACATATTGTGTGAAATACATAGTCTCTACCACTGGAAAACCCAACCTCATTGCTTAATTCAATGTTCAAACCAGTATTGAGGAAGGCATAGGAAATAAAGGAAACACTAATAGAAGCCAACATTGGGGATAGCAGCCAACATTGATCACATCATATGATAGAAGGCATTTAGTTATTTCTCCAAAGCATGTTGGTCCAAGTTGACCTTTTACTGCAGTGGGCTAAATCAGGGTCACACAGAGTGTTTCTTGGTAGTCTTAAACAAATCTACTTTGAAACCAAATGATACACCTCACACACATGGTTATGGGTTTAAGAAAAAGAAGACACCTGTACAATGTCAGATATAGAGTTGAAATGTATTCAATTTTGAGTTTGTATCCCAATATTACACTTTATATACAGTGAGGGAAAAAAGTATTTGATCCCCTGCTGATTTTGTACGTTTGCCCACTGACAAAGAAATGATCAGTCTATAATTTTAATGGTAGGTTTATTTGAACAGTGAGAGACAGAATAACAACAACAAAATCCAGAAAAATGCATGTCAAAAATGTTATAAATTGATTTGCATTTTAATGAGGGAAATAAGTATTTGACCCCCTCTCAATCAGAAAGATTTCTGGCTCCCAGGTGTCTTTTATACAGGTAACGAGTTGAGATTAGGAGCACACTCTTAAAGGGAGTGCTCCTAATCTCAGTTTGTTACCTGTATAAAAGACACCTGTCCACAGAAGCAATCAATCAATCAGATTCCAAACTCTACACCATGGCCAAGACCAAAGAGCTCTCCAGGGATGTCAGGGACAAGATTGTAGACCTACACAAGGCTGGAATGGGCTACAAGACCATCGCCAAGCAGCTTGGTGAGAAGGTGACAACAGTTGGTGCGATTATTCGCAAATGGAAGAAACACAAAATAACTGTCAATCTCCCTCGGCCTGGGGCTCCATGCAAGATCTCACCTCGTGGAGTTGCAATGATCATGAGAACGGTGAGGAATCAGCCCAGAACTACACGGGAGGATCTTGTCAATGATTTCAAGGCAGCTGGGACCATAGTCACCAAGAAAACAATTTGTAACACACTATGCCGTGAAGGACTGAAATCCTGCAGCGCCCGCAAGGTCGCCCTGCTCAAGAAAGCACATGTACAGGCCCATCTGAAGTTTGCCAATGAACATCTGAATGATTCAGAGGAGAACTGGGTGAAAGTGTTGTGGTCAGATGAGACCAAAATCGAGCTCTTTGGCATCAACTCAACTGGCCGTGTTTGGAGGAGGAGGAATGCTGCCTATGACCCCAAAACACCATCCCCACCGTAAAACATGGAGGTAAAAACATTATGCTTTGGGGGTGTTTTTCTGCTAAGGGGACAGGACAACTTCACTGCATCAAAGGGACGATGGACGGCGCCATGTACCGTCAAATCTTGGGTGAGAACCTCCTTCCCTCAGCCAGGGCATTGAAAATGGGTTGTGGATGGGTATTCCAGCATGACAATGACCCAAAACACACGACCAAGGCAACAAAGGAGTGGCTCAAGAAGAAGCACATTAAGGTCCTGGAGTGGCCTAGCCAGTCTCCAGACCTTAATCCCATTGAAAATCTGTGGAGGGAGCTGAAGGTTCGAGATGCCAAACGTCAGCCTCGAAACCTTAATGTCTTGGAGAAGATCTGCAAAGAGGAGTGGGACAAAATCCCTCCTGAGATGTGTGCAAACCTGGTGACCAACTACAAGAAACGTCTGACCTCTGTGATTGCCAACAAGGGTTTTGCCACCAAGTACTAAGTAATGTTTTGCAGAGGGGTCAAATACTTATTTCCCTCATTAAAATGCAAATCAATTTATAACATTTTTGACATGCATTTTTCTGGATTTTTTTGTTGTTATTCTGTCTCTCACTGTTCAAATAAACCTACCATTAAAATTATAGACTGATCATGTCTTTGTCAGTGGGCAAACGTACAAAATCAGCAGGGGATCAAATACCTTTTCCCCTCACTGTACATCACAAAAGACTGAAATATAACAAAACTGTTTGACATAGAAACACCGGATTTTCAGCGTTCAAAATGTTTTGTTTATTAATTATGAAAACTTGACAAATATTAATAACATTCCACCCATGAGGCCACTAGAGGGCGATTTGGTCATTTGACTGCAGGAAAGGGGTCTACTCCGGTTGTGAGAAAAAATGACTTTGACTAATTTGGTCAAGTTGAAACCTTTCTACCCCAATCACAGATGCCAGACTGTAAGTGGGTATTTTCCAGCCATACGGGAGCCTTTGATTCAGTAAAGGGTTCATCTCCTTTTTAAGATGTAGGATTTGATATTGGGTGAATTGCTCCATGGTAGCCTGTTCCATGTAATTGTATTATCACAGAGATGGATTTCATTTTTTCTCTGGCCTTGGCATCCCCATATTTTCCCAGACAAAACCCCTCAAACCTAAGCACAGAAAATGACTGCTATTTCCTCCTTAACCCAATTTGAAACACTTCATTGTTGCCTTGGGACAAAAGGGCAGTTTGCTTCCCTGCTTACCGAATGTAATATAAACCAGCGCTGAAAGATGGTATGGCATCCAGTAGCTGAGATTGTTTTCCTCCAAACTAAATTCTGTGGCAGTTGCAAATGTCCGCGCTCCCCCATCCCATCCCTTTTCCGCACCTGCACATTTAGCTTTGTAGTGCGTCGCCGGGACTTTTCCCAAAGACAAGTCGCTGTCATTAAGGTCCCTGGCAGCCTCAGTGATAATTTATTCTCAGCATTAGCGTGAGGCTTGATCCTCTTCCTGGCTAGGCAGAGGCAAGTTTTTTTTTCTTTCTTCCCCGATTGCACTTAATTTGTGTATGGTCCTCACTCCCCCACTTCATCTGCCTGAGTGCCATGTCACCACTCGTTACCTTCTCTCTTGGCCAAACTCCTTCATCATTCACTAAGCACCCCAACGACTGCCCGCCCGCCGCATGCACTTATTCATGAGGCCAACATGGTGGCCGGCGCTCCTCCGCACCTCTATCTTTCTGCTCTCTATATTTCCATTTTTTTCTCTCTATCTGCTTTGTTGTCTCTCTCTCTCTCTCTTTTTTCTGACCCCTCTATCTTTCTCCTTCTCTCTCATTGCATCAGGCAGCGTCAGCCTCTGCTCACCTGCTTTCCCTGAGTGCTGCTTTTTAAGTACAGTTTTTCCAGGCTTTTCCCCCCTCCCCCTAACAGGCCCCGGTCTTTTGAAGCCAGTCTGTTTGTGTTGCATTAACAGGTAGTGTAGCAGAGTGAAGCCCCCGAGAGTCCGCTCCTTCTTTTCCTGCTGTCTCTGAAAGCGCCTTCAAAGGTTGCTGGAGCTTTGCACATCAACAGACATCTGCCTCAGCAGGGAAATATCTCATTCGCTCGGCGAGAGCACCCATGGATATGTGTGCGAGTTCTTCAAGTAACATCCTGCGGGTGTGTTGGTCTAAAAAGTGGTTCGATGTAAACATGTATGTTGTCACGTGCTGCATGGCAGGAATGCGCTCATGTTCAAATTGGTGCCTTTATGAAATGTGTAGTATAAGGTGATTTTTCGAAGGGTTTCTTCTATTGCTTTCACATTGGAGGCACAGAGAAAGACTGGTACCTTTTGAGTAGGAGCTTCCTCACTATGAACACTCTTGCTAAGAACAGACATCCGTCGTCAATATTATCTCTTTGGGCATACTGTAGGAGATGTGCCATAGCTCTCAAAATGTCCACTGCTTCATGACACAGATTATTTTGTTTATCTGGCAACACGTTATCAGGAGGTACACATTTTGCAATCACAGCAATATTTGGTTTGCGGTGCTGAAGTCTTGCAATGCAGCACATAATTGGAAATGGAAATGTAGGCGCTAACAAGATACTCCCATTTTAATAAGACAATTATTTGAATTATAATGTGTATCCTTCTTGATGATGATGTAGCCTACACAAAGACATACAGGCCTGTTTCTTCCCTTGAAAACGTAGTTTCTAGTCATCCTTTTTTAAAAGGGTTGAAACTGCAACAGATGAACACAGTGTTGTACAAAGCCATTATCTTCTGGAGTGCAGCACCTCTAAATCCATGCGAAGACACTACACTCAGATTGTTCATCAAAGCTGCTGTGGTGTTGCATCTGTCGCTTTATTGAATATGAATGAAGTGGGATCTCTGTTCACATGTCGTCGACAGAGCTCTCCATGGAAATAAAAGCACACATCTCTCTGTCTCCTAGCCCCTGCTATTTCACCTTGTCTGTGAACCGACGGATTTAATGAGAGTCTGTCTCAGGGAGCTTCCACCTTTTGATGTGTCTGTTTGATTATCCCTGCGATCCGATCACAAGTTTCGCCTGTAAACATCGACAAAACGCAATGAAAACACATCAAATGGAACTAATCCACCTCCCACCCCTGCCAACCCCTACGAACCCACCTCAGCTCAGAGAGAACTGGGGATACGTTCGTAGAATTGAATGAGGGTGAGATTAATAATTTAGAGGTGCGGTAGATACCTTGGACCTGCTCTGTGCCATGCCATTAATGGGCTTCAATAACCTGGTGGTCATGTAGCTGAACCAGCATGGCCAGGAATGAGGTTGGAAGGCATAGTGGATCACTCTCTCCTCTCTGGCTCTGTCAGTCTACCTGCTGACCTCTCTTATTACCATATTGGACTGAGCTTGTAATGAAGGCAACAGGCCTCTCTATACAACCACCACTGCCATTTGTTTATGTCAGTACCTTCAATGCCTTAGGTTTAATACATGAGTGTGTTGTGTATTGTACTAGTGTTATGTGCTTGAGTTCCATCAGTCGAAGCTTTGAGTCTAAGCTATGCTTGAGGGGTTAAAGTTCCATGCCATCCACTTATCCTGTGGTTACAGTTTTTAAAATAGAGGCCTTGA